AAGTAATAGCAATATGGGTATTCATGATAAAATTCTAAATTAAAAATTATGACGCTACTATTAATTAAATTCCAATTGAACTATTGATATAACTCGGTTTCAATTAAACTACTTTGGAAGGATCGATCTAAAACCAAAATACGATTATTTCATCAGTAGCATTTTGTATTCGAAATAACGATAAAGTTGGCAATTAAACCTGTGTGTGGATGAAACTCTGAGGCCAAGAATGTAAGCCAACTTCACATAGACTGGGATTTGAGTGCTTGACATTTTCTTTCCATTTGTCACAGTTTTTATGCAGCCCCTTATGACTCCAACAATTTCACCTCCATACTCAGCAACCTGCTCATGCTCACACATATAATTTTCTATATAAAATGTTAATTTAAAACACTTTTATATTTGAAAAATTGATTCCTACACACATTAATGACCAATACTAAGTCCAATACTAACTTTTATATTTCATTAATGACCACATCGGTCGGAAATATTCCTCGACATAACCGATTCTAAGTCGCAATTTACTTAAAATAATGAAGTGAATACGTATGTGTCTGCACTGTATAACAAAATAAACGTGGAAGAAAATGATGTGGTGACAATTGTTTACACGATATGAAATAAGTATAATCATAACTAATCTTGAATTTACTACACCTAACTTTTGACTTCACCTATGGGCTATGATTAACATTTACCGGAAATAACAATAATTATCAATTATGTATTCTCTTAAATCCAACACTTTAAAGATTAGGGAAAAAAAAAAAATAAAGCTTTTAAATAAAAACTTTTACCAGCATAACGTGTGACGTGAAATTACGAACTCTCGCAGCCGGGTCTCCCATGAGGTCGGTGACCAGAGACGGTTTTCCAGGCTGGCCCACTTCACACCGCCGCTCGAGCTCCTCTACAGCCGCCTTGTCACTCTCTTCCTCGTACTTTCTTACCACCAGGAACGGCGGCGGAGAACTTGGCGGGTAAATCTCGGCGGATGCTACTTTCTTGATCGAGGGCATAATTGGAAATTTAAGTTGGTGGCTAAGAGAGAAAAAGCACCGGTTGAAATTATATATATTCTCAACCCGCCCTAGAGCAAATTCCTTAGCTTGGGACTTTCCTTGTTCTAGTTAAGCTTTTCCATATTCGAACAGTCGTTATATAGAGCACATGTATCAGCTGACGTGGCATCTGGTTTTAGAATGCTACCTACGGTGATTCCATACAACTGTCAATACGGGTTGTGGCCCACGGACTGGCCCACTGCCTGTTTAAACGGACGGGCTTGAGCCTTCATCTGACAAGCCCGCTCAATTTCGGGCCTATTGGCTTGCGATGCCGTTCAGCCTGCGGTCCAAAGTAGACCCGGCCTATTATTTTTTATTTTTTTTTTTTTATGATATTTTTCATTTTAGAATTCATGGAAATTCTATATTGTTGCAAAACAATTTACTGTATCCTTTCATTTTCTTAATAGATTTAGGTCTGAGTCAAAGTGTTTACTATACATGTAAACTAACATCCTCGAATTTTTTTATTTTCAACTATTATTATTTAACTAACATCAGTGCGAGACGGGACGGGATGGACAGGATCAGCCCTTTTGACACTGCTATGTTTACACTTTACACCTTGACTATGATAAATTAACAAGCTGAAATTATTCCAATACTTCTTTATAAACTTATAACCTTATGAGTTGTATATTCAATATCTTTTCTTAGTGATACAAAAGTTTCAATTCTTTCGTGCTCTTAACTCTGATATTGCAATGTAAAGTTGACCACAGTTGATTAACGATTTTAGGTAGAAGCTACTTGATATTAGACCATGCCTATCTCCCACTCTTACTATGGCCAAACTTTAACATATTAGTTCTTATTAGGTGGGTGATTAGCTACAAAATCTCACATAATGTGATAATGACAAATTCAACGTTAAGGAAACATATACAATTTGCTACAAAATTAATATTTATTTATCATATTTGTGTATTGTGTTTCTTGAAATAGTAAACACTACAAAAAAAAAAAGAGATGAAATTCCAACAAAAATATATTTCAGTGGAATTCCAACGACAATTTCAATGGATATTTTAATGCTATTTCGTTGAAATTTTCAATGGATTCCAACGAAAATATTCTGTTTTAATGAGTTTTCCTTGAAATTTTCGTTGGATTTTGACGATTCCAATGGTAAATTATCCAACGGTTGAAATATGAGTGAAAAGAAAAATCCCAACAGAAATTGGGGGAGGAGGCGACGGTGGGGTCACTCTGAGACGCGCGATCCCGAATTAGATTTCTCGAGGTTCTTCACGACGATCGACAGATTATTTCTTTTTACATTTTATATTTTATATTTTTATTTTTTTGAAAATGGAGGGTGAATTTTTTAATTAATTAAAGGAAAATGACGTGGAAAAAATGAAAGTGGTCACATCACTTAATCTATCGAAAATCAGTCCATATTAGCCTAGTCAAAGCCGAAATTTGCAAGCAACTTGTAATCAAATCCCGGCGATCCAGACCGAAATAGGACTAAATTAGCTAAAATTTAAGACTTTTGGGACCAAATTACTGGACGAAAGTAAAAAACGGTTTATGTTACTGAATTAAAACTACAATTTTCTCTTTTTATTTATATTGACTTCCATATATTTACATGAACTTATATTGTTTTTATGTTAGGCGCCGATATTGTACACCCACAAAATTTCAATATAGGCTCAAATAAAGCTCTAATCTATACTTATATTAAAGGGAGTCTTATTTACCAAATTTAGTAACTAGAAAAGTCAACAACATTTATTGTCATTACTATTTCCGTATTATACAGTTTTATTTAATATTCATTTTTCTGTTGCGATTTTTAAAAACAGATATGGTCAAATTATCTCATCATTAATTACTTTTCATTAATTACAATTTATCTATTTATTATTTTCTTCGCAAGAACGGATCAACATTAATTGATTTCCTTAAAATGTGGAAGTTGTTGCTTTATTTTTGTACAGAAAATCAGGCTTCATTATAGAAATTTGTTCAATTACACAATGAATTTTCTATGATATAATTATTTTTTATGGGAACATTTTTTTTAACAGAAAAATATGGCATTTCAATAAGATTTTCGATTTTTTAAGACTGATCGTTATCATGATATGAAATTGAACATTCCAATATACCTTAACAAAACACACACGTGATGTATACATCAGTTAATAGAAATATAGAATCCTCATATTTTTATATATACGTATGTAATTTTTCTATTACCAAAATTAATTGATAGTTGTTGTGTTATGGGTTTTTTCATAATTGTTACTTGGTTGTTGTGATATTTAGTTTGATTGGTGTCGCAAAAATTCTAATCTATATATATAACAAGAATAATCATTACAATGCAAATTATAAAAATATTGATATTAGAAGAGATTGAGTTCATGGCTTTTCTTAAATCAAAGTTGTTTAATTAGTATACAAAATTAAATTCTAAAAAAATATATGTGTATATTTTGTACATTATTTATACACTATTTAAATTTAAATTTATTTACATATTTTAAATTGATTACTTATATAAATAATATCAACGTGTATTAAATATATTTCATTACATAAAATAAAAAGAACAAGAAGACGTGTAACTTGTATAACTTTATAAATAATAATGACATTATATGGCAACAGAGTTTAATAATTAACTATTATATAGTGAATAAGAATAAGTAAAATTGTTATTTTCTCATATATCAAGGAATAAGTATATATAATAAAATTAAATTTATATTAGTATAAATCTGTTAGTGGGATAATATATTAATTATTTTACAAGTTAGCCCTAACATGCTCACGTTTAATGTTCTGACTAATAAAATAACGTTGATTAAAAGATGTGAAAAATAGATTACAACCCTATTTTTTTAGACTTAACGGTGATTAAAAGAGGTGGAAAATAGATGATAACTCTTTTCAGACTTAAGCGAGACTTAACGGTGATTAAAATAGGTGAAAAATGGATAATAACACTTCTCAGACTTAAACGGACAGAACCTGTGAAAATAATTCATTTAATATCTCTCTCGTGCATCGCAAGGGGTACGTACAGTAGAGTTTAAGATGAAATGTCACATGAGGATCAGTCCACTTTCACTCTCAAATTTTTATAACTAAATTTGATGTATAATAAACGTTCACATTATATATCAAAATTAGTGTTATTATATTTTTGAAAAAATTAAAGACAAAATTTAATATGTCCATGAATTTTATGATAAAATAAGTAATTGAGGTTTATATAATGAAAAAAAAAACAAAGGAAAGTTATATTTTCTGCATTAAAAATCAAATATAATATCTATACTTATATAATAAGAATTAACATTTATCCAAAATAGTAGGTCAAATTATGGTCAATGTCGGATTTGCATTAAATATTTTCCAAAACTGGTAAGTTTTTGTCCTTTTCACACTTCTCATTAATTATGTCCTTTTCACACTTCTCATTAATTATGCCATTTTCATACTTCTCATTTTCACACATCTAATTAATTCATTAATTACGACATAATTATCATAAATCATTCCATCTGAGCTTTTATCGTTAAAATGTATAACGATCTGTTATGACCTTACCCCATTGATATTTCAATGAAGCGTCCTTATCGCGTTCTATTTTTTGGTAACCACTCTATATCAATAACCGGATATTTGGTTAATGATAGCACACGTCTTTATTTCAAGGAGCGGATATTTTTTGACCTTTAATCAATCTGAACTGATTGCCTTGACTTTTCAATTTTTAAAAACTCTTTTTTTAAATATTTCGGCTTAAGATTCGGATTTCATTATACAAGTCATCGGATTGTTTGAATGAAAATGAATGAAAAGAACACAAAAAACAGGTAGCCTTATTCATATAACCAATCCTAAAATATTAGTTTGTTCACCCAAAAGAGACAAATGCTAGAAATCCTAAAATATTAGTTTGTTCACCAATCCTAAAATATTAGTTTGTTCATAAAAAATATTAGTTTGATTTTTAGGATTTGTCTCTTTTGAAAATATTAGTTTGTGATAATGAGGAGTTACCAAATAATCAAACTCATAATATTGTGTAGAAGGAGGTTTTTAATAATATATGATTATTACCGAACTTTTTATGATTCAACAATGTTCCTATGTATTTTAATGATTTCAATTTCGATCCTAATGCACGTGAGGTTATATTATTCTTTCAAATTTTACATCTCGTGCATCGCACGGGTTACGTACTAGTAAATAGTGAAGAGCTCACCAGAATTACAACCGAGTTATGAGGTACCACAATGGTCCAATGCCCAATTATATTCCACACACATTATAGAAAGGTATCTGCCTTATTTTACAGGCATATCCATGCTTATGTAATGATCATATGCCCAGAATAATATTGTTGAAGTAGGATTTTATACTCATTAATTCGGTACTCGAATAATTAGTACTAGTACAATACCCGTGTATTACACAGGTGTTGAATTAGAAAGCTTTTGTAAAAAATATTAATTTTTTTATTTTTGTAAAAACTAAAATAATTTTATTACAAAAGCTTTCTCGTTTACAAAAACAGTACTTTGGGTTTTAATTAAATTGTCAAATTATATTTTTTTAATCATAATAATTAAACACCCGTACATTAAATGAAAATGTCAACCCGTGTTGAATTTTTTTTACTTATATCATATAAAAATATCGATATTATTTACTATTATATAAGTACAAATATATATATCTTAAATAAATAGAAATAATATGGTGATATGTATATGCATAAGTGTAGAATATGTTTATTTAATATGAAGCAAAATATATTAATTTCTTACTTAATTAGATGCCTAATACATTAAGTGTCGTATCAGTCCTGTTTCACAGTTTTTTAACTTTATATGTTATTTTAGAATTTAGATAAATAATTATTTATTTTTATTACATTGACAACATGCCAATTAGATTTGAAATAAATATCATTTTTACAAGAATACATACCAATTTCTATTACTTTATAGTATAATTTATAATTTTATTTGATATAATTTAATTTAGTTTGATAAATAAATTTAAATTTTATTTATAGGGATATATATTACTGTTTTGTGGTATTTTATCTCGTT